TTCCAGGAGAATTTGTCATCAACTATGACACCTAGAAATTTAATTTCATATACTCGTTCTATATTAGCTCCCCCAATTTTCAATTGAAGTTCATTATCTAGTCTACGATTCCCAAATACCATAAATTTAGTTTTATCCAAATTCAGAGATACTATATTACTGTCACACCATTTCTTTATCTTCTCAAGTTCCTGTGAAACCCGTCCAGAGAGTTGCTGTAGGTTTTCACCAGATGCCCATATGGTAGTGTCATCAGCAAACAAAACCACTTTCACTAAATCAGAAATCTTGCATATATCATTAATATATAGTATAAATAATTTAGGTCCCAAAACAGAACCCTGAGGCACTCCACATACAATGTCATTTTCATGTCAGACCAACAACATAGCAGAGACACACAAGTTCTACCCCTGCGTCCAGCAGCTGAACTATATAGACTTGAATTCACACTCGAGCATTGACTACATTTGGACTTGGAAGTTGGAGGTGAGAACTTTTTTGTAATGGGCCATAATAATTTGACATAAGATATTGGTATTAAAACGTGTTCACCCACGCCACGCAGTATCTAGCACACTTCCATCAAAGCCTATACCATGGCTGGCCTATACATGATTTTTATGTATGGTGACACTATTCACTGTTAGAAAGTCTGGAATATAAAATGTTGAGAGCTGTGCCAACTGTGATTAATGTAGGCCTTGATGACTCTGACTCAGGTAACGGGGTTTCAAATCAGATTTGACTTGGCTTATTCTTTGGTGGCTCGGACTCACTGGGAACTTGAGACTCATTGTAGTGACTTGATTACAACCCTGTTATGGGTATTTTGTGGTGATATATTTTGAACTTGCATTACTCAAGGGGGGAGTCGACAGTGGTGTGGTGGGTAGAGCAATCGTCTCCCAACCAGAAGGTTGAAGGCTCGAATCTCGATGCCACGGGCAGTCCACGTGTCGAAGTGTCCTTGGACAAGACACTGAACCCCCCCGTTGCCCCTGATGGTTAGAGCCATCGGTTGAGGTGGCGCTGCAGATGGCTGCCATTGGTTCTGTACCGGAAACAAATTCCTTGTGTGTAACATACTTGGCCAATAAAGGTGATTATCCTTATCAATATTGTATATACAACTTGATGAATATACAAGGTATGGTGTATTAATTGTATTAATATTTGAAATGTCACTTATCTCATGACTCAGAAAATTATCACTAATCTTTGCAGTTCTGCTCAGATCTGCAGAACTTTTTAGCCTTTTCAGCTTATTGTTTTGGGTTTATGCCCCACAATTTTGGTTCCGTTTGACTGTTTTAACCTCCTTTCCAGCAGTAATAGTCATCGCATTTTAGTAAAAAGCCCTGATAAGCTACTAAACAGCTGGTGAATATAGTGGCATGTCTGCAGACCCACCTATTTTCTCAGGACCTGGTGATGACTTACTAGAGCTAAGGGCAGAGACACACCAAATCGGCCTGAAAGAACTAGCAGCACTGTAGGCTGACCGCTGCGTCACCTCACATCACCTTTGTCTGGGTCAGTCAGGTTGAAAAAGTGACTCTTGAACACACAGGACAGACTACAGCCAACGGCTGACTAGCAAGTACGTTCTGTGCCTGCATGACCACAATAACTTTCTCTATCAGCAGGTGGCAGTATCTGTATTCGCCATTCAGAAAGGGAAAGAAGATCATCTAGACTGCAGAGGTATAAGCTATAATCAAAGCACCTTACGTTCAAACAGCTGCCTTTTTTTAGCTGCTTCTAATTAAGAATATGTGCGATTAAAAAGTTACAAATGACACTGGTGTTCTCTGCCTTTGGTCTTTTGGTTGTGGAAGAAGAAAGGAGGTTGTGGATGTGAAAAACAAGGGGAAGCTGTAGAAAATGGGTGAAATCATGGCTATTATAGCCAAAGGCTGAAGGGGGCTTTCCTGAACAGTTCTCTTCTCATGTATTGTGACACTAAACTGAACAGTTAGTGGTTTTTCTCCTTGAGGCCCAACGGGGTAACACTGATTCAACATGTCAAAAAGCCACCGACAGGGACCGACTAGTGCCAACTGTGTGGGACACAGCGGGAAGGCGAGCCGCTACAGACACTCACCAATGGTCCAAGTCAAAATGGGATGTTTGGCAGTATTAATGTCACATCAAATTGGTCAAAAAGCCGCTGACAGGGACCGACTAGTGCCAGCTGTGTGGGACTTACGGGGAGGATGAGCCCTGACAGACGTTCACCAGTGGCCTGACTCATCTGTTTGGTGTTTCTCTGCTCTAAAAGAAGAGTGAATGACTTGCCTTGTTTGAGTTGTTTGTTGAAAACTACAGTGACTAACTATGTTAACAAATTACTGAACACTTTTTAGAAATGAAACCAGATATACATATTTTTTCAACAAAAACAGAATCTAATGCCAGTCTAATGACTGTGCAAACGTGCAGCCGAGTAGAGTAGAGTAGAGTAGGTACTTTATTGATCCCACAGTGGGGAAATTTCTGTGTTATAGCAACAATAGAGAACAGCCAACATAACACCATAAGAACAGAACTTCATAGAAACACGGAAAAGAACACAACGAGGAGACAGCTGCTGTAACTTGCTGCCACTCCGTGCGGCGCATGCATATGTAAGTACGTAGTAACAAAGAACACTTAAGTTACATAAAGGCAACAAAGCATTAGGACGATATGAACAAGGATTATAAAAGTAGCGTCATCAGAACGTTACATTTTACACAGCACAAATAAGCAAATCAAAGGCACCTAAAAACAGGGCAGAGCAGCACTGGAGAGAATCAGGAACAGCAGTAGAGACTAAACAACCAGGAAATCAAGAACAATCGAATATTACTCACACAACTGATCACACAATGGGGGAAAGAAACCTGTGTTTCAGCCATAAGGATCTCTGAGCAACTACTCAAAAATACCTAAGCAGGGCAATGTACAGTATTTGAGAGAGATCAGGAACAAGATATTACATATGAGCCTATTTACAATGCATTTCACCCCCAGGAGCTGAATATTGCACCTCAGTAGATTATTACATAGTCCCTCATAATTTCACCTAGCTTATCACTGCAGTGTTGCTAGCATTGCTGTAGTTTCTTACTATTGTTTCAATTTGCACCTAGCACTTTCATTATTTATACTCCGTGGATTATCCTAGTAAATCAAAATAAATGTAAGAATACCACAAAGCAAATAATACATTGGTGAGCTCATGGAGTGTTACAGTTTAAATGCATACAGTAGTTAACGCAAACGCTGTACTTTGCAAAATTTGCCTTGTATGTTGCTGCACTGGCTACAGCTAGTTTCATAGGCTACACATTCCTCCTCTTTCTCCTTTCAAGTTTTTTTGATGCACAGAAGAGCCACAGCTCTGGCCAAAACAGTTGATGAAATGCCACTTGAATCTTTTTAGTTTTTTTCCCTCTCTGTTCCTGTAGCAGCATATTCCATCAGACAATGAAGGCAATTTTAGATATGCCTCATGATTGATATTATAAAATGTGACACAGACTGCAACCAGGAATGTAATAGATCCATCTTCCACAGGGTGACATGCAGTGAATTTGTAAGAGTGCCATAAGGCAGTGGTTGGGCTGGTTTCACTAAGACAATGACTCTGGCGCAGATGTAAATAGTCGGACTTGGACACATATTGATGACTCATCTGTATTGTCTAAATCTGAACTATTTAACCTTTTACTACCCATTGTTCTACCCACGGGATGCCAGGGCCATGTTCAGCTTTGGTGGACTGCTAATGTCAAGATGAGTTACATGACTATAAACATGTTATAGGAAGCAGTGAGACTTTCATCTGAGTTGGTTTTTAATGTCTGATACAGACTCTATTATGACAACAGCATCATTCTTGTATTTATACTTATTGTTCACAAATGTCAAGACATCTACCAAGCCACAGGTAATCTGACACAGGGCAAACGGAGAAATGAATAATTAAGTGGTTCAGGGCTTTTAGCAGTTGTATTTTTTTCTTTCAGTCTTTTTCTTGTCTTCTTCAGGTGGCCAAGACTGATGCCAATCTTGAATCCAGAGTATGTAGCCAAGAAGATCATCCATGCTGTACTAACAGACCAGGTTCACCTGCTGCTGCCTAGGAGCATGTACCTCATGGCTGCTTTAAAGAAGTTAGTGTCTACCTCTTCTGTTTTCTTTTCTCTAGTTGCACTGACTAGGGATGTGGTGATACACTTGGCTGATGAGATACAGTGGGTACGGAAAGTATTCAGACCCCCTTAAATTTTTCACTCTTTGTTATATTGCAGCCATATGCTAAAATCCTTTAAGTTCATTTTTTTCCTCATTAATGTACACACAGCACCCCATATTGACAGAAAAACACAGAATTTTTGACATTTTTGCAGATTTATTAAAAAAGAAAAACTGAAATATCACATGGTCATAAGTATTCAGACCCTTTGCTGTGACACTCATATATTTAACTTAGGTGCTGCCCATTTTTTCTGATCATCCCTGAGATGGTTCTACACCTTCATTTGAGTCCAGCGGTGTTTGATTATACTGATTGGACGTGATTAGGAAAGCCACACACCTGTCTATATAAGACCCTACAGCTCACACTGCATGTCAGAGCAAATGAGAATCATGAGGTCAAAGGAACTGCCTGAAGAGCTCACAGACAGAATTGTGGCAAGGCACAGATCTGGCCAAGGTTACAAAAAAAAATTTCTGCTGCACTTAAGGTTCCTAAGAGCACAGTGGCCTCCATAATCCGTAAATGGAAGACGTTTG